ATTTACAGTTCCAATATGTTGCAGAACTTTGCCTGGGCCCTCCCAGGAAACCTCCGGTTTATTTGGGCTGAGTGGGTTCAAGACAAGAACAGAGTCTCCCACCTCAAAATCTCTGTGCCTTGATTTAAGATCATGAAAATAAATTTGCTTAGCCAGGGCCTGCTGGATATTTTCTTTAGCTATCTCCTGAATAGCCTTCAGCTTCACTTGTAAACTATACACAAAATCAGCAACAAGCACTGAACTAGACTGGATGGTACCTTCCCAGTCAGCTCTCAACAAATCCAAAGATCCACACAATTTTTTTCTATACACCACCTCACTTGTGCTGAGTCCACCTAAAGTCTCGTGAAGTGCATCTCAGTAGGCCAAGAGGACCAGAGGGAGAACTTCCTCCCACCCCCTCCCAAAATCTTGAACAGAAGTTTTAATCATCTTGAGCAGTGTCTGCTGGGTGCTCTCTACCAACCCGTGGTATTCTGAGTGATAAGCTATGCTGAAATTTATTTTCGTTTTACTGATTTCACACTTTCCTCATCAGCTCACTTCGAAATGCACCAGCTCTATCACAAATTAACATGGATGTTAATTGTCCAATCCTTGCACAAACTTCCAGAAACACTTTGGCGATGGAATCCACAGAGATAGTGGCAATAGGGAAAGCCTTGGCCCACCGACTGGCTTGACAGACAAAATGTGATAATAAAATGTTTTTGTGATTTAGAAGGCAAGAAAGGCCCCAAAACATCCATTTGAAGGCAGTTAAAAACTTCACCTACAACAGGAGTTGGCTGAACTTTTGCCTTAGTTTTATCAGTGTGTTGCCCCACCCTTTGGGGCAACAAAGTCTTTCACAGTTTTTGCCACGTTTGGCCAGTAAAAATGCTGAGTAACTCTCTGCAAAGTCTTTTTATATCCCTGATGTCCTGAGAAAGGGGAATTGTGTGCCAATTCTAAGACCCGTTGTCTGTACTCTTGAGGCACAACTAGTTGTTTGGACGGTTCTAAATCCACTCTAGAATCTTTGGCGAACTGGGGATATAATAGACCATTTTGGCCCCAGAAAAAACTTATAGGCTTGGCCTGACTAAGCGCTTGAGGCTGGTCAGCCTGTAACCGCAGGGCTGTTAAAGAAGGGTTATTTTCTTGGTGTCTTTTGAACTCATATGTACTCATCATCTGAATAGTCTCTCCCCCTTCTGGGCTCTCAAGATCTGTAGTTGCTCAGGCAGTAGAAGTTGCTCTTTGGCTGGCAAAACTCTCTTGACTAGCGGAGATTGCTCTGCCAGAGGGGGTTCAGAGTCATCTGCTAAGCCTACCAGCTGTTCCTTTGAAGTCAGCCTAGGCAAACTCTGACAGCTCCTGAGTGGTTTTGTATACAGTATTGCACCTCTGAAACTTCACTCAGGAGACACGGAAAGAACTTTGCTTGAGCACATGTAATTACATTAATTGCAGGCTCCTTTTGTTTTTTAATACCTCAAACTCTAAGTCATTCCCAATTAAAAGAGTGGTCCGGTGGGCCAGATAGGCGGGGTATAAATTAAATAAATAAATACAGTAGTTTCTATGGATGGAAAAGAGCAGATACGGATTAAATGGTTTTCAATGCATTCCTATGGGAAATGCAGATTCAACATAAGAACTTTTCAACTTGAGAACCACCTTCCCATACGGATTAAGTTCTTAAGTAGAGACCCCACTGTAAATAAATAAAAATGAAGGGGAACTCTGACTATGCACCAGAGCATAAATTTGGCCAGTCCAACCTATGTAGCTCACATTTACCAAGGCGATAGGAGCATGAACTAGCTCTGTCCCTGGTGGGTGGTAACTATGGATGGGAAATCTGGTATTTGGCACAATCTGGTTAGGGTAACAAGGTTCTCACAGAAGAAAGGTCCGTGCCCCAGGCCCCAAATGTGCCAATTTTCAAAAAGCCTTGTGGGGTTTGGATTTCAATGGACTCACCAAATTCTTTTGCTGCCCATTCTGCTCTGTCGTTTACAGATCAGGCATGTAGGATCTATGATTCTATATTGTAATTTCCACTGGGTAGGCTGTGTATAATCCTGAGCCTCTTTCTGAATGACTGCTCCAAACATGCTAGGCTGAAAAGGATTGGTCAATGAGGAGTTGAAATTCCTTTGTCTTCACTGACTTGCCTCTGGGCTTGTAAGGGATTAACTCCTTGTTGGGCAGCTGCTGCTGGTGAAGCCTGATGTGGGGAGTATGCTTCATTGACGTCCTCTAGACGTCTTTCAAAGCTAGATGGGTCTCCATGCTCTTCAGAGTAACCAAGGAATTTCAGCCTGGGTGTCTGCCATGTGGACCGGTGGCTTGGGTGGAGTCTTGGGTAGCTGGGAGCATTGGCTTTAGGACAACCTCATCAGAGATGGTCCCCACCACACAAATAACACTTCATAGGGGGACCTGAAGTGGCTGGCTTCCTAGAGTCACTTGGAGGAGTACGCTTAACCTCTTGGGAAATTGGTTTGACTGCCTTTTAAAATTCCCATGGCTTTTTGGCCATTCCTGGTGTGTGTACAGGTTTGGCTTTTTGCTTGTTGTCCCTGCGAAATGCCCAAAGTCCATCAGCGGCCAAAGTCAGCAGTTGAAGATTAGGCAAATGCCTTTCCAGTAAGGTATGTCTAAGCTCAGGTGGCACCAGAGTCAGGAACTGCCCACACAAAATTAACTGTGTAATTTGTTTGGAAATCTACGCCTTTGCAGCTTGCATCCATTGCGAGCAATGACTTTCCAACCTATCAGCCACAGCAGAAAAATTTTCTTTGTACTGTCTCTTTATGCTCCTAAACTGCTGATGCAGGCTCTCTGGAGTGAACCCATAACAACGATGAATCAGGACTTTAAATTCTGCCCAAGTGGGTTTATCTTCAGCTCTCCTTGCAAGAATCTTAGCCGTCCAGAAAACCTGAGTTTAATAAAGAGTTTTTCTGGAGTGCCTAAGTCTTCACAGACTAATTCATTTTATGAAAAAGTCTAGGACATCCTCTCCATCAGTGAAAGAAGGTAAATGTTTCCTGTCAAACCTGGCAAGTGAATTCTTTTGGCGCCACTTCTCTGCAGCCTCTTGTACCACCTTTTCTCTTAGAAAAGTTGCATCTCACTCACCTTGTCTCTCCCTCCGGGTTTGGGTGATGATTAGCTCCCTCTGAGGAGACAGGAAGTCAGCCATTATCAAAGTCAGCTTGTCTGTCTCAGTCAAGGTACGATGCCTTGGAGCCAGGCTTTCCCTGACAGGACCAACTGTAGCATCCTCCCCAGTCTTGTCCCAGAGAATAGGAATCCTTGGAGTTTTACTGGGATCACTGTCTTCCTCCTCCTCCTGGTTGTCTGGCAAGTCACCCCATGTTGTTTGAGGTCTCACTGTGTCTCGAGTGGTTCGCTCCAGGTGGCACCTTATTCTGTCCGTCATGTCAAACAGTTCCACACTGCCAAGCATTGGTTTGAGGAGAGACACCTCAGTTAGCTTGGGTCGGGCGCCTCCAGTTGCGCCTAAGGACTCATCCAAAGTAACGCATTGCAGTTCTTTGTCCAAAAGTAACTCCACTCCTTCAGGTAATGGGAGTTTGGACATGGACAAGCTTCTCCTGAGTGCCATTTCTACCTTAGCAAAACAACAACTTAGGGAAAAGCCACTTTATTCTGCATTTCTTTGAATATGCAAAACTGATTCTAACAGAATGGTCTCTCAACAGCTCAGTCCGTATCGCACACTGCCACCATGTGATGCACAAGCCTCCCTAAGGAGCACTTGGTATTCAGTCAGAGTTCGACAGGCCACTTACCTACCACCTTTCCACTGGGGCAAGTCCCGAGACCTCAGCAGTGTGTAGCGTAAGCCCTTTGAACAAGTCTGACATTAAAAGAACACTTTACTTTTACCCAGTACTTTGCAAGTACAGACACATGGGCTTTGTGATTCCTTCTTTAATTAGCTCAGAATGTTGAGGCTTCCACCGGCCCCTTGATTTGACCTTCAGCTCTATCCCGAACCATGGTCCTCAGAAAAACACTCTCATAGCACTTAGAAAAATGCATTCCAATGTCTCTCAAATGATCTTCAGCCTGTCTGACTTCATCTTACATTTCTCTGACTACATATCCCATCATCATGACCTGGGACTCTCTATGGAGGCTCAAATATCTGCCGTGAGCAAGAGTACTTTTATTAACTTTGACTGATTGCCCAGTTGTGCCCCTACCTGGATAAAAAAATGCCTAGCAACAGATTGGTAATCTCAGATTGGTATTATATATAAGAAACAGACTACTGTAATAGTCTCTTCATAGGGCTATCCTTGAAAACAGTAGAGAATCTTCAGCTGGTCTGAAATGTGGAGGCCAGACTGATTACTGAGACTAGTAAATTCAATCATATATTCCCAGTGTTGATGCACCTTCATTGACTGACTGTCAGTTTCCACGCTCAGTACAAAGGCGCTGGTTATGACCTCTAAAGCCCTTAATGCTTTAGGACCGCAATACTTATAAGAATGTCTCTCTCAGAAATTGGCTGCTTTTTCCACCTGCTCCTCTCAGGCCATGTTGCTAAGATGGCCACATTGAGGAAGGTCAAAAAGGTGATGACAAGGAATCAGGCCATTTTGGTGATGGCCCCCAGTCTCTGTAACAATTTACAACAATACACCAGTTCCTCTTTATGTTTAGGAAATTTGCAAAAGCATAGTTATTCAAAGCTGCCTTCAATAAACTGAATCTCCAGGATACTGTATTTTTTCCTTTCCTTTCTTCTTGTTATTGTTGTACATCATTGTATTGGTTGAATGTCTATTTGCATGAGGTTTTATGGGGTTTTAAGGTGTAAAGCACCCATAGGAGTGCTTGCACTACTGAGGCAGCATATAAACAAACGGACAAACAAAGAGAGCACCCAACAGGATGGCGTTCACAAAAGATACGAAGCAAACACTCATCCTCACTGACTGACAGAGAAAATGAATCAGGTCAAGCCAGAAGGTTTTCACACTTTTATTGTAAAGCTTTGGGAGGGCTAATTACAGTGGAGTTTGTCATCTGACAGCTCAGCAAACAAACAGAATGGAAGAAAACAGAAAAGGGCTCACGAGGTGTCATGCTCACGGCTTCAAACAAAAAGGATTACAAGGGAATCAATTGTGCTCATGGTACCTGGGGGAGAACTCAGCCCAGGCCCAAAGCCTTCCCAGTGCAAGGGAAATGCATCACATTGAGAGCAATACAACCTTAGCAAGAGAGAGAGGCAGTACCTAAACGTAGGTCACCATCCGAAAAATAGTGGGTACTCTTTACTCTGCCATAGGATTTCTCCTTTTAGAAAAGCTACACCTGCATGTACATAAAACTGTACAAAAAACAAGGCATCACAAGCAAGGAACTGAAATCTCGTATAAATAGAACCAACACGAAGAGCTACAAAGGGGTTGCTTGGCTCCATCTTACACAGCTGGCCAGTGCCCGGCCTCCCACCTTTGGTTTTACCCCTGGCTTGTCCTAGTGCAGTGCTCAAAACTATCCCCCCCACCCTTGTCTTTCAATGTGCTTGTCTAGGCCAGGACCCATGGAGCACCCTTCTTCCTGCCCATTCCCCCACCCCATCCTTGTGCACATAGGTTCTCTCCTTCTGGCTTTAAATTGTGCAAATGAGCTTCCCTTGGTGGTGGTCCCTTGGAAATCAGCCCACCATTCCTTCTCCTGTGATGTCTCCCCATTTTGTGGGATCTTCAGTTCACATCACTAAGGGCCAATCTCAATGGCACTGCTGCTGCCATTTCCAGATCCTGCTCCTCTCTCTTCTTCAAAATTTCTTCCACGCACAGGATGGTAATGTCTTGGCTTTCCATGGAAGAGGCAGGTACTGTGGCTTCTTCCTCGCTCCTCCAAACCCATTTATTCCCCCGGGGCTAAACCAAGGGGGATAGACGCTGCAGACATATGCCCCCCCAATATAAGTCAGATAATATCCAACAGATCAGTGCAGATTTTCCCAATTTGTCACCCACAGTCAACTCACTGACATCAGCATGGTTAGCATGGGAATAAGCAACCCAAACCTGCTTGGCCAAGCACACATTTTGCTCCAATGGCCCTGTGGCAAAAAATGTCCAAAGATGGGAGCAGTTCTGGGATAAGGCCAGCCTTGCAACTCTCACTGGCAAGGGGCAGGCCAGATTAGCCTGCCTATAAATAGCACTACCACATGAACCAATTTCGAGCAGACCCATTCTGTGGACAGGAGCATTTCAATGCCCTATATTACATAGGACAATTTATTAAAAACAAAATGTGATAACCTTATCTGGGTACCACAGGTATTCCCCTTGTCAGCAAGCCTGGCTCCCATATACATATTTGACAATAGGGAAATAATAATAGAGAGCTTGAGAGGAGGGTCCTGCCCTCCTCCACACCTTACAGTGGCACTTTAAAGTGTCTAACAGGACAGTGTATGGTTAGAGATGGATGGCTGAAGTCCCTTTCCTCCCTGGGCAGGGCTGATTCAACGCCTGTATCTACCAGCCCCAATGCCTGCCACCAACTGAACAGATACAGGCAGAACCTTTTCATTTCAAAGCTCTTTTCCAGCTCCCGCGTTGCCTTTGGGCAGCTACGTGGATCGCCCGGGGAGTCAAAGTGGATAGGAAGTACTATGTCCCTGCCCCTGTTTGTGGATTTCTGCTGAACTAGCCCTGAGCCTCAACAATGGTAAGGGGCGGAAGAGGAAAAGCATGCTGCACGTGTACATGTGCACATGTGCATATGCACGCATAAGTTGTCAAGGATGTCAAACTAGGAAGGCTGGTACAGGGATCCAAACATCCAGTGCTCTGTGGCATATGGCAGCAAGCTTGCCACAGGAGGGTATCACTAGTGTTGCTCTCTGCTCTGCTAAACGTGTCACACTGCAGATGGGCAGAAGCTGATATGTTGCAATGTTCTCAGCAGGGGACAGATGACACATGTTCATTTCCTTTAAGAAGGAGGCAGTAAGATTTCGCATGGTCCTATAAATTTCCTGCTGGCTGGCTAGCTCAATGAGTTGGGTATAGAGTTTGATTCCCCACTGGGAGAAGAGCCAGCCAGTGTAGCCTTGGGCAAGCTGCACAGTCCCCAAGCACCCCCAAGAAGGAGGAAATGGTAAACCACATTGGAGTATTCTACACCTAGAAAATCCTTGAAAGGGTGACCATAAATTAGAACTGACTCAACAGTACATAACTATATATTATTATGAGGCTTCTGCCTCTGGTCTGGCTCCTTGGTCTTAGGAATGTGTATACTGTACCCATTCGCCACACCATTCTCTGGAAGAAAGAGTCAATCCTGACACACACATACATAAATTATACCATAAACGGTAAGAAGAGATAATCTGTGCATACACCATTAGCTGTTTTTCTCCTCTGCTTCACAGATCCTGTAACTGAGAAGGAGCCTGAACAGAGACACAGCAAGGAAGGGTGAAAACCAGCCCACCTACTGAAACACAGCTAAGAACATATCTTTGACCCATGACAACATGTGGGAAGATGGTCAGGGCTATGGGCACCAGAAAAAACCAAGTCAAAGCACCAAGAGGATCAAGCTGGGCCCAGTTAGCGCCATCTGGTCAAGGGGGAGATGCCCCAGGCTAGAGAATGTACTAATGAATTTGTACCTTCCACTGCCACATGAACGAACAGAAATGGAGCTCCACAAATCTAGTTGGCAGGCAGGGAGGGAAGGCAGACTGATGGGAAGAAATTGCCATGAGCGCTAGGTGACCTGAAGTCAGGACCATCTGAGGGTGACTTCACAACCAAGTCATTTGAGCAGCTCACAGATGGCTTGAGGAGGCAGAGTACTCCCTTGCCCGGTCTTCTGATGGTCTTCTGAGCCATCTCTGGTGAAAGCATGATTGTTGGGAGTTAAATATGCCAAGGGTAGTTTCTCTGGTTTGTCAAATGGGCCTCTCCAGGGACTACAATATCAGAACAGGGCTCCTACACTCTGATACTATGTGGCTAAACCTGCGGCACTGGAAGAGAATACTGGAGCCCTTGAGGCTGGCCCTCTGGTCTCAAGGCATGGGGAAGGGGGTATGACTCCAGCATACAGAGGCCCCATGGCCTTCTGTGCAACCCTGAGTCAAAGCTCCATTTCACAAAGGCAATGGTGGCTTACAGGCAGATAAATCAAAGGCCAGAATCATGGCACCGAGGCCCAATGACCCCGTGGGAATTCCCTGCCTCAGGTGAGGAAGAAGAGATATCAGGGAGTTGGGTGTGTGTGTGTGTGTTGGACCACTTGAAGAATGGCCATCTCTTCCGTCTCTCTTACTGGCCCAGCCCCACTGTGACGGGGCAGGAACAAAGGAGGACCAACTGAAAGCCACGGCTATTAGCTCTAGAGCTCCCCCCACACCTGACGAGAAGAGTGCTGAAATTCAGAAAGAGATTTAGGGGGTTAAAAGCGCTGTAATGCCCTTCTTCCCAGTCCTGCTGACCAGCCAATATGCTCCCTTCACCAGCTGTCACCCCATATCCTTATTTACACTGTGGAAGGGTTAGGGTGGGCTGGCTGGAAGTGCTTACTCCCATGTGCTCTTCTGTGTGGTGAAAGATTCAAGCTGGAAATTGCTCCCTGTGGGTTTTGCTTCTTTCAATGTCTTTTTTTTTTTTAAATCAAGGACAATATGTTTTTGATCAGGCAGGACACAAATGTCATTCCTAAGATTCATATTTACAGGAGTCTACAGTAACAAGAGAGGGAACGTTCCCCCCTCCCCCGTACCTGTGCCAGGTGCCCTCAGCCCTGTGCCCAATGGACTCCACCAAGTCTGCATGGACCTTTGGTAACTAAGCCCTTCCCCCCACCCCCAGCCCTGAAGCCATGAGGCCAAGCCCTCTTCTCTAAGTTCCTTTCTCCCTCTTTCCAGACATTCAGGGACCACTCTACTGAGAGCTTGATCATTCAGGCTGGTGCCAGTCCTCTTGCTCTGGGAGCAATGAGTTTACAAAAAAATGTGTCCAGTGCCCTGGGCCTGGGCAAGGCATTCTCTCACCTGGCAGGCACAGAACTGCCAATGCGAGTGATAAAGCATCACAGTTTGAAAGTCCCTTCTTTTTATTCTTATTCTAGTTCCAGACACTGGTTTCAGGTGTATTTATCAGGTACTTTCTGTGGTCCTTTCAGTCTCACAGGTAGATCTCCCGCTTGGCAGTTTGGGATGACGGTGTAGTCGCTGTCTGGAAGTCCGAGGTCTGGGTGAGAGGGATTTCCTCCATGGGGGAGTCCTTGCAGGGCTCATGGCTACTGTTGGAGAAGGCACTGTATGTGGGGAGCAGGCGGAGGTTAGCCATTTTGGTGTTGCGCTCTTCTGAGAGTCTGGGGCTGCCATTCCCAACTTGCTCTTGACTCCCTCTGTCTTGATAAGGCACAAATGTGGAGAGTTTGAGGGCATTCTTGGGCCGCCGGCTTGGAGAGGACTGACCTGGCATCCAGCAGGTGTCAGAGTGACCAAACTCTGTGCACTCCCGGGTGCAGGTCCCTGTCATGGCTACGTCAGGCAGAGGCCGGAGATCTGCACACGAGAAAAAAAAAAGGAGAGGAAGGGAAGGGGAAAGGATTTAGGCATGTGTATAGACATGGTAAAAGGACAAAGACATGCTGGGAGACAAAATAGTCATAAACAACTTCATTCACTCACTGTCTTCTACAACAACGCTACGTCCCCCTAAGAAGTACCTGTAGAGGAGTGATTTCTGCCACTCTAGCCAACCAAAATCATCATCATCATAGAGAGCTGGAAGGGACCCTATAGATCATCGAGTCCAGACCCTGTCTAGGAGGCACAGCAGGGAATTCAAGTCTCTAAGTCTCTAACCCTGTCTAGGAGGCACAGCAGGGAATTCTAGTCTCTAAGTCTCTGACTTGGCAGCCAGAGACCTAAACCAGCAGTTCTCATGTGCCAGCAAGTCAGCTCTGACTTATGATGACCCTTTTCAGGGTTTTCTAGGGAGAGGGTGCTCAGAAGTGGTTTACCATTCCTCTCTTCTGGGGGCATCCTGGTATGGTGCAGCATGCCCAAGCCAACACAGGCTAGCTCTTAGGCAATGCATAGTGGTGAACTGAACAATCAGCCTCTGGCTCTGCAGCCAGATACCTAAATGAATGAGATAGCCAGATCTAACAAAATGAAGGAGGGGTGATGAGACAAGAATCTTGACATGGTAGGTTTTTAAGATTGTAGCTGGATAATTGTTTGGATGTTCTTCTATATTTTAAAAGACCTCCTCTGTGCATACAAAACACATACAACAGGCAATCTTTCCCTGGAGGAATCTGGTTCCCTCCCCCCTGCTCTTTTTCTCAAAGAGGTTTTTAAGCAGTGTGATACAGTTAAAAGAAAAATCACCTTTTCTCCCTGCAGTTCCCTCTACCACTTCATTCTCTTGCCTTGGCTGAGCAGAGTAAAGCTCAGCTTGAACTACGAAAGTACTCCTTTCTGGTCATCTCTGTTTTCCTTGCTCATGTGTGTGCTCACATATACAAAAATCCACAAAAATCTAATTTCCACTTCAGTGAAGGGTTTCCCAACAGACCATGTATGTCATTCTCTGTTCCTCAAAAGAGAAAATCAGAACCAAATATCAGCTCTGCCTTGAGGTGGCAGTTGTTGCTCCACACAAAGCACTTCCTCGCATGAAAAAGTACCTTGAGATGAGAACAGTCTTGTGGATGTTGTGCTGTTTCATTGTTATTTACATTATAGAGAACAACATTAAAAATTAGTCAATGTACTGTTCATTTAAGGATAAATAAACATAAATAAGGACATTCGCCTAATTTTTACCGAGTCTGTATTTTAAACATACACATTCCTAGATACCTTTTTAGTGTCACTTGAAAAAAGGAGATCAGAATAGCATAGAAGAACAGGTATAATAAGTACTAATCCCACTGCCAGAAATTTTGGGTAGATACAACCACATTTCACATAGCAGTTAGTAAATAATGGATTTTACTCATGGGAAAGAAATCATTTTGCTAGATACAGATCACAGTTTGGATCCTGGAGCAATGCAGTGTGATGCACACTGGAAAAAATGCACAACAAGTTTCACGGTGAAGGATGATACATGGGTTGTGTATATCATAACTGTTGGACAGGAGATCTTTGACAAAAGGTCCTAAGTCAGCAAACAGGAGTCAAAGAACAACTCCCTTCAGAAAGCAGTTTTGAGCCATGTTCTCAGCACCAGATGGAGTCATCCTCTCTTTAGCTACTGAAACATGAAAGCAAGGAGAGTCACTGCTTCCCTGTGCCCAGCCGCGTCATTCACTTTTCAACCTCAACCTCAAGTCTCTGCAACAACTTGGGTGCTACAGACATTACCTCATGTTTGTTAGGGGGAAATATCTACCATCCATCCTACGCACTTCAAGACCCTGGGCCCTTCAAGAAACTCAGGAACATGATGCTTTTGCTTAATAGTCTTCCCAATGTTTTTTTTAAATACTGTACTCCGTTTGGTCATAATCTGTTTGCTCTGCACATAAGAGATTCCACTGATTAAAGTGGTGATCCTTAAATCACCTGACTTCTTTAACCACTCAGGTATAAATAAAAACACTTAGATTGGGTTCTCTTTTTTTGGGGGGGGCAGATTGGCATTGGGACACTGCATATGCTATATGATTTTGGGAATAACCAATTGACATCTACTTTGAGGATCAGCATGGACAGAACGGAATAGTTTTAAAAAGTATCAGTCCTTGTCTTGTATTTGTAGTCACATCAATTCTCCCACTTCCAAGAAACCCACTGACGAACCTTCCTTCTATTGGTCCATGCAGCACCGAAAACATCTGGCTGAGTTTTGCCCCCGTTCTTGTAAGCAGCACTGTTTTTATTACACCCTGGGTAGAATCCTATTGTGTTAACTTACACCTGTGGAAGGGTGATGATGTCAGTGGCAGGGGGAGATTTTTGGTAATCAGAAACCTCCAACTTCTGTCCCATGGTTTTTCTATCTCCCTGCAATCTCTTTTATCATATAGAAGCTATGGGAGCGATGGAATGGAAGAAGTCTTCATTTACTGAAAATAGACACTGCATGACGTTACCAGCAAGGAGAGATTTTTGGCTTCTTTCCATCCTGTAGTTCCCATGGCTTCCATGTAATGCAAGGGATGACATGGGAGTCACAAAAGCCATAGGACAGAAGTAGGAAGCTTTAAATTAAACAAATTGCTCTCTGCCATTGACATCCTCACTCTTCTGCAGGCCTATGTTATGCAACAGGATTTTGGCCAGTGCCATTAATATACCACATCCCCCCGTATGTTACAGCAATATTTTGTCCCATGTCCCATTGCACCTCCCCGTTCTACCCACATGCAGTCTCAAGTGAAGCTTCTACCTCCTACAGTATCCCACCAATCCTCTGTGCATGTATGTGTGGGGAGGTTATAGGCCCCTGTGCACACCTACCTGGGTGCAGAGCCCCCTTCACAGTCTGCTCCACGCAGGAGACACTAATGAGGAGCAGAAAAAGGAGGACAGGGTCACTCAGTATGCAGCCCTACTCTCAGCTCCTTTACAGTTAGTTCTGTTCACCCACATCCCACCAAGTAATCCTGGTCACCTTAGTATTTCAGGGCAGAAACAAACAGAGGCTCCAGCTTCACAGTTCGAATCGGAGCTACCTTAAGAGTTAAAGGATGCTTGCTCTTCCCATTGTGAGATAACGCAACTCCAAAGGTTGCAAATCAGTTTGCTTTTGTACCATGAAACATCACTGGGAGATACGCATGGGATACATTTGCAGACAGAGAAGCTTTAAAACAAACAAACAAACAAACAAACAAACAAACAAACAAACAAACAAACAAACAAACAAACAAACAAACAAACGTGAGGAGGGGGAAACAAACACCATCCAGCAATTTCTTCTTGGCCTCTCTCAGAGAAAGCCAGTTCCTAAAGAACTTCTCGATGAACATTTCGGCGTGTGTCACTTCTATTCTTTACATTTCTTTTTGCCATGCAGTGGTAAAGTTTATCTTCTTGATCTCAGTTGCCACACAGCAAATCCTAAACTGGGATGAGCAAGCCAAAAAAAGGGTTGGTTTAGGAGGATGAGGAATCTCTTTCAGCTGGGAAGCCACATTCCACGTATAGTTTTCTGAAGCACATATTTCAGCAGTGACTGGTGGCAAAACTGCACACATAGGTGCCTGTTCACATGATCCACACACTCTCCCCAGTCATTGCACACACTTACCCCCACTAAGCATGTCATTCATCCACTGGCCCAGCCAGCTCTTCTCTTTGTCTCGTCATTTTCTTCTCTGCTCTTTTGATCAGCACTCTCCAATTGTCTCTCTAGCCATCTCTTTGATTCACTCTTTGTCTTTCCTTCTACCTTTCCTCCTTTTAGCTGTCTTATCTCCTTTCTCTCATGTTGCCTGTTCGTCATAGCTCAACTCAGCCAAGCAGCTGTGAAACTTAATTAATACTTGCTGCGTAGAATATCAGCACTTTGAAGGATGCAAATACACTACTGGAGATGAGATGGCTACATGTAGTGGTAAACACTGAGCTCCTTCAGAAGGAGAAGCACAGGAAATGGATGGCAAGGTGTGTTGATCATCGTGGAGCAAAAGTAAACGGCAAAGTCTGATCAAGGGAGGGACGCAGAAGGGCCAAAGGGAGTGGCAGTGTTGATAATATGATTTTGGAACAGGAGACACATCATCATGTATTAATGTTCTTAGACAAAAATATCTTGAGTATGGAAATAAGCCAACAAAGTTGTTGGCTAGAATGGCATCCATAGGACAAAATAAGAGATCTAATAAAATATAAGAATAAGGTAGAAGTCACGCCAAACAATGTTCAACTTATTACCAGGATTTGCAGCCTTCAAGTAATCCGGACAATTATTTCACTACTAAATTTCTCTCTACACTTGCTATACTTGAATTTACTAATGGCAATGTAGGTGTTTTATAATTAGAGATTACTACAGAGGAACTAAAAGAGATAATGAGTACACCTAAGGGCAATAAAGCTCCTGATCCAGATGGTTTTCTTGCAACCATATGAACTGAATCATTATAAATAAAAGTGCAAGCACTGGGGTAGTGCCTGAACCATAGGATGACTGGCTTATCCTTTCAGTTCATAAACTGGAGAAGGATGCAATAATTCTCAGTTCATCTAGATTAATTGCCCTTCTGAATTAAGGTTTTAAATTTTGGTCTGATGCAAAGTGTTAGCAGATGGATTAGCAAATACATTAATAAAATAACTGGGAGTTATGCAGAGGAATGCCAGGCAGGGTTCTTATCTGATTGTAAAAATAATTTAAATATCTAATAAATACAATATATATATTTATGTGCAATAGACAGGAGCTTTTTCAGTTTCTGCATCTGTTAGAATTCAGTGGTCACATGTCTACAGGATGTTCTGGAATATTACAGCAGTGGATTGTGGTTATTTGAGTGGGCTAAACCCAAACGTTACTGTTGTAAGAAACCAATACCGAAAAACTGCATCTTTTCTATTCTGCT